TCAGCAGGCTGATACATAAGGTCTGAGTTGTTCAACTACAGAAACACCAAGATTTCAGATGATTCCTCAGACTTATTTGTGATATTTTAAAGATTCAATGAAAGAAAAAGATAACTCTGGTGGGCCTTATGAAAAATAGGTCAAAATGGTGATGTATTAGACTGGGGAGGTAAGTTAGGTCTATTATAATGACTAAGATGCATCTTAATATATCTAAAACTGATGTCTTGATACCAGTATTTTTCCTTGCCACCATCCCCCTTCCATACACAAACACAAACGTACTCATCTAGAAAGCTTCCCCATCTCAGTAAACATTAACTCTATTCTTCTACTTGACTTGCTCAGGTCAAAAATATTGGAATCATTCTTGACTACTTTCATATCCTACTTGTAGTCCATCAAGGACTACTGACTGTGTCTTCAAAGTATATCTAGTTTCCAGCATTTTTCACCATGTCTGTTTCCACTCCCCAGGTCCAAGCTGCCATCATCTGTCTTGGATTGCTACAATAGTTTTTGAACTGGTCTCCCTACTTTTTCCCTTGTGTCTCATCTGTTCTTAACAAAGCAAATCATATCCCTTCTGCACTGGCTTCTCGTCACACTCAGAGGAAATACCCCAAGTCCACCCATCTAGAGTATAAAACCTGACTTTTCTCTGTTTGACAGTTATGAGCTGATCTCCTATCCCTTATCTCCCAGACTCAGGCAGACTGCATTTATTCCTAACCAGAACAAGAGTGGACTCTTCTCTAAAAAGGTGAAATGGACTTTGGGAGCAAGCAAAAACTTCTTATGTTACAGAATTGAACTCACCAGAATACAATCCTTTTTTTTTTTTTTTGACATTTGGAGGGCCCAGTGAGCATAAGAATTATTATAGTCAAATTATTTGGCCTTGAGACTAGGTATATTCTCAATTCAAAAGTATTCCTAGGACTCTAGTCAGGCATAAAATTTTGTTTATATAAGTGTGCTAACCAAGTAGTTACAAATATATTTTGTTCTTATATCATTTGCTCAATTCTTTTGTGGCCTCTTGGTCATTTGAAACCAGACTTTTTAAAGAGCAGTCAGCCAATAACATAAATCACTCATTCATACGTCTATTCAGCAAATGTTAGCCTTTAAGTTAAATATTTTCCATTTTTATCTAAGAACTGTTTCATCTGCTAGACATTTGTATGGATAGAAATTACTAGATCTTGTGGTATATTTTCTATATGACTATTTCTATTCCTGTTTCTTAATCATTTAAAGTTTTTGATGTTATAGGTTAATATTTGTGCTCTCAATTTGATCTTTGTGGCACTTTCTCCTCTATGTTTAGTTCTATGAAAAGTTATCTTGTTTCAGTGCAGAAACCAGTGTTTAAATCCTCACCATGTCCAGCTACAGTAAGAGCCTCACTAGAGTTCATTTTTCAATCTGATGTGCTTTCCTATATTTTAGCATAATAAAGTAGGAAAAAAGCACCATTCACAGTTTTCTATCTTTAAGTGGTATTTACCTAAGAGGCATTTTGGTTCTTGACTTATAAGTACACTCAGTTTCTAGGATTAGACCTGCCAGTATTCCTCTTAGACCTTAAAAATGTCTTGGAGCAATTAACTTTTTCAGTTTTCTTATCTATCAAAAAGAGAATCATATCTTCCTTCCTTAATTAATGGGTTATTGTGGATCAAGTATAATAATAGATTTGAAAATGCCTTGAAAAATTAATAATGCCAGTGACCATTGATGATAGTGATCGTGGCTATAGTTATTGTATGTGTGTTGGCCCAGGCCCTGCACTATGGGCTTTCTGTGTTCTCTCTTAATGTTTTTGAGGATAGTTAATACTATCTCCATTTAAAAATGAGGACGCTATTGTAAGAAACATAACTGTAGATAAGGTATTTGAGGATTTCCAAGAGAAGGAATAGTTGCTTTTGGCTGGTTCAGGAAACACTTCCTGGATGAGGTGATATTTTGGCTGTTTTACAGCATTTTGGATAATGTTGCCCCTCTGGCATACAAATGGCCTTTTATGTACCTTGCATCTAATTGCGAAACAGTCTTCTTCATTTGTAAAACCAGTATCTCTTGTGCTCACATTGAAAGTTTGCCTTAAATACTTAATTTGTCTTAGGTTGCCCCGTGCTTTTTTCTCCCTCAAAGGGGAAATTACACTGCCGTATTTTCTTCAGGGAAGGCTAGCCACTGGATTTTCCCTAAGGCTGTGTTAGAGGTTTTGTAGGGGAGGTTTTAGAATACTTTGGGAGAGCATAGTGGTGTTCCTAGCGCTGTGGTGAGGTCAAGATAGTGCTGCTCATCGTTCTTTCCCAAACCTGTTTAGTCACCAAGCATGCTGCAGTGTACCAGGGTTATGGTGGTAGTCAATATCATAAAGTGTTTTTATTCTACAAGTTATTGGTGCTACAAGTCTTGAGCAGAATTTATAGTTATTGGAATATTGTCGGGATTTATCATAAAAATCTTCAGAGAAACTGTAGCTAGTAGCACTATGATTCATCTTAGTAATATAGGTTTTTTTGCTGAAATACTGTTTATGAGTTTCTGCAACATCTCGCCTTTTATAAAATCTGTCAGGGTCTATGGGAATTGTAGGGTTGGAGCAGACCACTGAAAACCTATGTCACTTTTTAATCAGAGCTGTACAAGGCAATAAATAGTACCCGAGGAGAGAAATTGTGCTGCTGAAGCAGGCAGGTGAGCGTGTGGCTAGAGGTTGCCACAGCAAGTATATAGCCACACAGAACCAAGAGCATGTGCTCAGCTGGCACACTTGATCTTGAGCAGGGTATCACGTACTAGAGAGCACAGGTGGCCCTGGAGGTACAGTGGTTGATGGGTGAGGTGGCATACCTGCTACACCATATTGGGGATGAGCCCTGAGTACTGGTACAAGTTTTAAAAAATTTTTAAATATGTCCAAAATGCTCCTGTGGCTAGTGCAGTCCCTAAACCTAGAGCTTTGCCATTTGCTACTGAAGACTCTTATTTTCCACTACTGCCCTAGGATAAATGGTGTGTGCACCAAAGTGACCTCCATGTTGTGCTGACTTCTTTTCCTGTTCACCAGGTAAAGATGAGCTGCTTTTTATTAAAGAAACAGCTATAGTGGCAGAGCAGACTATTCATTCACGTCCTAGTCAGTGCCTTTCTTTAATACTTGTTTTCACTCCCCCGTCTCCTTCCCACATAGTGACTAGCTTAACATTGTGCTTGTTCATATCCTTCCCCCATTCTTTTTCCTTCCTTACCTTAAGAAATAGCAGCAAGATAGATACATACGATAGGAAATAGTAGTTCAAGATAGTACTCTGAGGAGGTGTTGTAGCCTTGCTTAATATGTGAACATATGCTACTGGCATATAGAAAGGAAGGGGTGAAAAATTTGGGGACTGAATGGGAAAAGGAAGAAAGAAATAGAAATGAAATTATGTAACTAAAAACTAGATACTATTTAAATATTAATTTTTATTATTCACTATTAACTGGTTGATTGAAGTGGTAAAGAAACTCATGTTAGTGTCTGTGATTAGCAAGGCACTGTGCTAGACACTTAGCATTTGTAATTTCATTTAATTAATTTTTTTAAATTAAAAAACAGTAATAGAAAAACATAGTTTACTTACCACCTAGAACTAGTAACACATTTTAATCTTTTGTCTTTTTTAATACACATATTTTTATAACAGAAACAACATGACAGATACGTTGGAAATCCCCTGAGTTCCCTTCCTGAGTCAATCCTTTCTTTCTCCTTAGATACAGCAGTAATCATGAGTTTTCTGTGTATGCTGCTAGTCCATACTTATATACTTTTATTATGTATGTATTCATAACAATATTTTATGGATTTCTGTCTTTAAAAAATAACATTGTAAGTGTCATACTCTGAATATCTGGTATATTCCCTCATTTTTGAGATCTCTCCATGCTGGTACATATAGATCTGTTTCACTCACATTAACTTCTATATAGTATTCTGTTGTATGAACACAACATCATTTATCCATCCTCCTATTGATTTGTGCTTGATCCAGTTTTCTGCTCGTACAAATCATACTAAGATATATGTATCCATGTTTAGGTCTCCTAGTGCATCTGACAAGAATTTCTGGTTGTGGGTTATAGGCTGTGCACACTGTCAACTTCATTTATCTCATTTGATTCTAGAAAATGTTAATTGAGAACAGGCAGCATGATCTCTGTTTTACACATGAGAAAACTGAGATGTTGAAATGCTATGTAACTTGGCCAACTGGATAAGAGAGCCAGTACTTGAATCCAGATTGAATTCCAACCATTTCTATCTAGAGCCCTAACACCCAGCATATTGCATATATCTTCAACTTTTAACCTTTGTGATTATTAGAACAGTTGAAGCCAATCAGTCATACTGCATCATTTCAAACTAGAGAATCAAAGCAGGTAATGAGGTGAAGAGGGCGTGTAAAAAAAGGTTAGATAGTGGCTGTACTCCCTTGGTTGTGATTATCAAAAGATTCAAGTTTTGGTGTAAAAGCATGCTCTGTGAAATGGTGGGTCTGAGTTTTCCATATGCACGACTTTATGTTGCTTAAAATGTATTAAATGCGACATGCAGACTATTTCGGTTTTAAAAAAAGATGTTACAGCAAGCATGTTAGAATCTGTGTTTACTCCTCAAAGTGTTGTACAGGCCATTTTCTCCAGGTGAAGAAACCTATCTGAACATGATTCTTTTGTTTGTGACACTTTATTCACACTTGAACCATATGTCTTTTAGACTTTATTTTTTCTTTTATTCTTTTCTTCACCTTCTAGGTAGATCTGGTATATTAACTGTGAAAATTCTGGAGCTGCATGAGGAATGCACCATCCAAGTTGCCATGTGTGAACAGCTAGCGGGGCTACAGGCTGAGAGCTCTTTTCAAGGCAAGGCCCCTGGGACTGGCCTAAAGGTTCTCTTCACCAAGGAAACTGCATACTACCTCAGGGCACATCCCCAAGACATTATCCACATCTACCCTCCCTGGTGAGTAGAAAGAACTGAATCCAGAGGTTGCCAGCTGTGAGTTTGTAGCAAAAGACATTTTTATCACAAACATTTTTGTCACTTTATCATAGAAAAATGCCAAAGGAAGGAAGCCAGGACTTGACATAGATTTTATGTAATAGAAGCACATAATTGTCTCTGGTGGCTTGTTTGTAGGTTTAATTTTAAGGAGCATAAATGGTCATTAATGGATTAAAAAAACTATTTTTAGGATACCATGTTTACTGTCTTATGCATAGGACATTAATTTTTACCAAAAACAAGAAAATCTTATTACTTTTGAGGAAAAGTTTCAGCATCCTTGTTTTAAAAGCTAACTATTGACTTTATCAGAATCTGTGTTTACTCCTCAAAGTGTTGTACAGGCCATTTTCTCCAGGTGAAGAAACCTATCTGAACATGATTCTTTTGTTTGTGACACTTTATTCACACTTGAATAAAACTAACTATTGACTTTATCAGCAATTTTTAAAAGTTTCTTTTATTTGTTAAATTTTTAGTTTTGAAGTTGACTTATAATAATTCTTTAAGTCAAACTTCTCTCCCAGAGGAGGGATCTTTTTATTGTGTCCATAGCAAGTGATCATGATGAGTCTTTACTTAAGTTCTTCCATAACAGGCTGAGGATATCAGATGGCAACTTGCTTTATTTTGTTTTAATTTTTTAAATTTAATTTCTTTTATTTTAATTTTTTTATTTTAATACATTTTTATTGAACATTGTAAGACACAGGATTATACACAGAGCATAAATGTACATTTCAGTGAATAATCACAAAGTGATTATAATTCCTGTCTAGTCTAAGAAATAGAACACAGTTTGTACCAGGCACCCTGGTGCCTTGCCTTGTTTCTCCTTTTCTGTTTTGCCCCAGATGACCATTGTCCTGATTTCTGATGCAGTAGATTCCTTCAGATGTTTGAGAACTTTATATAAATAGAATTATATAGTAGCCATGATGCAGGACAGGGCAAATTTCCCCAAGTTGGTGGGAGGAGACCAAGCCCTGCACCCGAGAGAAGAGGGTCTTTTGGCGGAGAGTATAAAAGAATTCAACACACACGCCAACATTAGAGTCAAAAGGAAAGTTTACGAAAAAAGGGATAACATTCCACAGACAGAGTGTGATCTCTTAGAGGCAGAGTGAGAGGGGATGTGAGAGGGACAATAAGAGAGACTGAGTAAAGGCACTGAAAGGGACTCTGAGTGTTCAGGGAATTCAGTTTATTTGTCATTCTTTAGTTCCCATTTCCTTTAATAAGGACATACAGTGAAGAAGGGGAAGAGTATGTAGCTGTGAAAAGGTAAGAATATGTAGAGTGAAAGTCCTGCTGGCAGTTCTCAGCCTTTAATTTATAGGTTCCCCATGGTTTTAGCTATAGGGAATGACTCTTGGTTCCCATTTCCCCTTCACAGGTGTAGAGAGTGGGTTGTTAGTAATCCAGCAGAAATCATCCTTTGTTCTGAAGGAGTGTCCTCCTGGCCTGGCTGCAGGGCTAATCAGCACGTGGCAGTCTCTGATTGTGGCTTGATTAACATTTTAATTCTCTCACCTCCTCCCTATATTTACCTATAGCATCTTTGTTCCTCTAGATTTCCATGCCTTTACTGTTTTTTTGCCCTCCGATTTCATATTCTATAAGTATTTAATTGGTTTTTCAAGCAAATACTTATTTTTATTTATTTTATTAAAATTATTGGGATGACATTGATTAACAAATAAATAAGTTTCAAGTGTATCATTCAACAGTAAGTCGTATATATGTTGCATCATGTGTTTACCACCCAGAGTTAGATTTCTTTCCATCACCACGTTTGACCCCTTTACCCTTATCTACCTCGCCCCTTCCTCCAGAAATATTTAATACATATATACATAATTCAAAAAGTACCAAAGGGTATACAGTGAAAACTGAGTCTTCTTCCCATACTTGTTCTTTCAGCTACTCAATACCCATCCCCTGAAGCAGTCACGGATACTGGTTTCTTACACACCTTCCCAGAGATGGGGGTATGTGTGTGTGTAATAAACACACCAAGTATATATATAATATATAAACTCACATAGTTATATATATATATTCTGCCATTATTTTATTTTTTTCTTGTAAAAACGGTAACAGTACTCCCTTGTACCATGCTTTTCTGTATCAGAAATGTGTCTTGGAGATCGTTCAGTAACATTATATTATTATATAAATATTTGCTACATTCTTTTCACTGACTTCTAATTTAGAGATATTATTATTCAATCAGTCCCTTTGGATGGACATGTGGGTTGCTCTTCCTCTTTGGTTACTTCGGACAATGCTGCAGTGGATACATCATTTTCCACATGTGTGAGGAAGAGATACAAGATAAATTTCTATAAATATTATTACTGGATCAGAGGATATGTGCCTATTTAATTTTAGCAGACATTGTCAAATGACACCATTTTACATTCCCACTAAGAGTATACATAAAAGCCTATTTCTGTCCTTTACCAACCTACTGTATTGATCTTGACCAGATTAAAAACTAGAAAATTGTGTTTATCATTTTAATTTGCGGTTCTCTTACTATAATTATGGGTTTAGGCATCTTTCCCTGTGTTTAAGAACCATTTGTATTTTATTTTCTATGAAATGCCCATTGATGACTTTTGATATTTCTTCTCATAGATTGTTGATCTTTATCTTAGTGATATAGATCTATTCTTTAGAAATGATAAATATAGCTCTTTGCCAGTGATATGCATTACAGTTAGTTTTCTCCCAGCTGGTCATCAGTCTTTCAATTTTTTAAAAGGTGTAGTTTAGTTTTATTTGTTTTTGATAAAGCAGGTATATTCTATTCTCCTGTGGTTGAATTTATCCATCTTTTATAGCTTCTGGGTTTTGTATCATAGGTAGTAAAGAAGTAAGACCTTTCTTACTGTGAGATTACAAAATTATTCTACTAGTTAGATTAGGTTAGATTACAGCCCTTCCTAATGGTCTCATTTAAATATAATTACCTCTTTAAAGGCTCTATCTCCAAATTAAGTCATATTCTGAGGTATTGGAGTTTGGGCCTTCAACATATGAATTTGGGAGGGACACAATTCAGCCCATAACACTTTCATAAAAACACTTTTCTGTTGAATATTTCAAATTCATGAATAGTCAATTAGCTGATTTCTCTGTTCCCATGTTTCCTATAGTAACTTACTTGAAAACCCATTAAGTCGCTTCCTGAATTGTAGTATGTCTTGTCATGTATAGATTTAAGTTTTTGTCAAAAAGATGCTTTTTTAAATAAAAAACAGTAATCATATTTTTTAAGTACTTTAGGAGGAGAGATGGATGGAAAGTGTTTTGAAAGATGAGTGTATTACTATTGTGCTGGTATAGGTGATTAGGCCATCTGTCTTAATAGTTTGGAAATGTCTGTGTTTTTAATAACAAGTAATTTTTCTTTATCCAGATGTTACCTGAAGCCAGTCTAGATGGCACTTAAAAATAGCTCATAGTTAAGGAGGGGAAAATAATAATAAAAATGACTAGATTTTTTTTTTAATAGAAACTTGGTGAGTTATAATGAATTTTTTTCCTTATAGACTGTCTACTCTTTTCCCTCTAATAACCTTTTGTATTTATTTAAATTGTTTTTAACCTATTGCCTGTTTGCCCTGAGAATACTCACCAGCAGCACTTGCAGCTGCAGTGTTTACCCTGAGATAATTCACAATTACAGTCTTAACCTTACCCCCAAAACATGCCATGAAATACCTTGCTTTTATTATTATTTTCACATCACTCTGGTAGATCGATAGTCTTTGGAAACAAATGACCTCATCCTATTTATAGCATTCAGTTTTTAGTAGTGGTATTTCTGTTTACAAAATATAGTAATTCTCAATTGCTGAAAATCCTAGAAAACATAGCATCCTTACGTGTGATGTTAAATTAATGCTGGTAGCAAACTACACTTTTGTTTTCTAAAAAGGAAAGGGTTTAAAAGAATCAAAGCCTTCAGACACCTCTGTTTATCCTATAGTAAGAAATGTGGGTTTAGGTACAATGGCTACTTATCCAGAGGAGTTTAGAGTCTTCTCTATATATTACCTAATAAATTCTCATTGAATTCCTGCAAAATGTAATGTTATCATGGCTCAGCCAATCTGGGGATAAATGTAAAAGTAAAATTCCTTGCCTAGAATTAATCGAATTATGAAATAGTTACAGAATTATATAACAATAAGCAACTTATAAAAATGTCATGAATCTGTAAAATTTCAAACATATAAAAATATAATAATAAAGTGAATCCCATGTCCCCATCACATAGTTTCAACATTTATCAACTAATGAATAAACAGCTTTTACTACTAAAAAAATCTGAAAGCTTCAAATATGATGAATCCAAAGAAACATTTTAGTAAGTTGAATACAGATTTTTTTTTTAATGTGAAGGAAGAAGTTTTCTATGATGGTAGTTGAAGAGAGAGGTAGAACTCATCTGGCTGATAAAGTGTGACCCACCACCAAATCTGAAGCCAGAATGAGCACCTGAAAAAGATAAGTATAAAATAGTATATCAAGGGACAACCAGGACACCTCTTACCTTACTCACTCATTCACTCATTTATTCAGAAACATTTATTAGTATCACTTGTGTCAGATACTTTGTTTCCCCTCAGAATATATGCATCCTTTATGGGGAGTGAAACCTGTCTTTTCCTGTTATCATGAATATCAGTAAATTCACCTCATCATCTTCTTAATGACTAGTGTTCCACTGTATGGATATATCATAATTTAGAATCTTTTATATTGAGTTTTTAAAATTGCTTCCCAATTTGGGCTATTTTAAATAGTACTTGAATGAAAGTGCTTATTCTCAGGATATTTCTAGAAGTAAAATTCTTGATCAGAGAATATGGGTGTGTTTTGAGTGTTTCAGTATACTGTTACCTTAGTAACCTGCAGAAGTTATAGCTGTTTCCACTTCTGCC